TAAATGCTAAAAGCAGCAAAAGGTTGGTTAAATGCTAAAAGCAGCAAAAGGTTGGTTAAATGCTAAAAGCAGCAAAAGGTTGGTTAAATGCTAAAATCAGCAAAAGGTTGGCTAAATGCTAAAAGCAGCAAAAGCTTGGCTAAATGCTAAAAGCAGCAAAAGGTTGGCTAAATGCTAAAAGCAGCAAAAGGTTGGCTAAATGCTAAAAGCAGCAAAAGGTTGGCTAAATGCTAAAAGCAGCTGGCTAAAAGCTAAATGTACCAATAGTTCATCTAAAATCTAGAAGTGTAAAAAGTTAACTACAAGTTAAAAGTAGCAAAAAGCCATTTAAGAGCAAAGAATTGCTATAGTACAGCTAAAAGCTAAATATAGCAAAAAATCTAGCTAAAAGCCAGAAGTAGCAGGGTGGCAAACAAAAACTAAAAGTAGCATTGAAAGACAAAAATAGAGGAAGTGTACAAAAATAAGATAATTCCAGAGGAACTGAAGCACTCTCACTGTGTTTCTATTTTTGAAAAGTATAAAAGTTACAAAAACCAACTTCTGCATAATATTTTGAATGGTTAAAATAGCACAAAGTTTGTCCACTTATTTAGACTGAAAAAMAAAACAAGAAAAATAACATTGCTTGAACACTGACTGCTCTCTCACATCGAATGTCAGAGGAGGCAGTCAAAGACAAGAGCCTCCAGCTAACAGGAAGAAGACAAAATAATGAACTGTCTGAAACACAAACTGGCTTCAGATCAATACATTTTACCTTCTCCAGTCAAGCTCCTAAAAGTTCTGTATATGTAGTACACAATGTATTTTTAGTTGTTTTTTAATTTCACTATATAAATAAGTTCGATTTGATTAGATTTTTTAGGATGTAATTACTAAGAAAAACAAAATCACATCAGGCTGTAAACTAGAAACCATCCCTAGTTGACTGACTGACACAGTGCTTATATAAATAAAATCACTATTTTTGTAGAACCAACCGTGTTTTTGAGATAGACTGCTAGTAGGCAAGGCCTCAAAGAGCCAAAGAAAGACGTTCAGGTTGCCTGATGAATTATTGATTAATTCTATTAGAAAGTATTAGAAAGTCTGACTGCTTAGAGAGAAAAATGCAAAGAAATGTGTGATATCTAAAGACTTCAGCACAGAACTGTAGATAAAACGTGTGACGTTGTGATGACGCCTGTCAGAACTGACTGAACACGGTGCGTTTAGASCAGGACTCATTTTAGGTCTCATGTTAGAAAGAGCTGCAACAGATCCACACCCGTCACATCTCAGCTGAGCTGAAGAGCTGCAGGTTAATCCYGTCAGAAGTCAGAGTTTAGACTATAAAGACAGATGACTGGATCCTTGAAGGGTTTCACACTCACAATCCTTCTTTTCTTTAAACACCCAGCCGGAGACATATGCTGCCGTCTGACTGTGGACAGTTTCTTGTCCGACCTCTAAAAGGAAAACATTCATAACAGAAATGTGAGACTGCATGGATGGACATACAGGACATGACACATCTAACCTCTGTTGATTTTAAAGTCACAGGGTCAGAGGTCACAAGTGAACCCTTTGTAAAACCATGTCCCTGCTCCAACTTTCACCAGAGGAACATAGACAGTGTCCAACAGGACACAGTGAGTCGTCCAATCTGTTTATCCATAAAACAGGACACAGTACATTGTCCTAGTTGTCCACCCATAAGACAGGACACAGTACATTGTTCTAGCTGTCCATCCATAAGACAGCTAGGACAGGACACAGTATTTTGTCCAATCTGTCCATCCATAAGACAGGACACAGTATATTGTCCTAGCTGTCCATCCATAAGACAGGACTCAGTGAGTTCTCCTTTGTTTTACTCCATAAGTAAAGTAAAAGTCATCAAACTACGGCTCCATATTGAATCTAATTTTTATTAAGTTGACCTAAGTGGTCCTCATGTAGTTTGTAGTATTTGTGTAACTTTGATCATTACTTGATGGTGTTATTGTTTCTCATAGTGCTACTCTCGTTAACTCACACCAAGGSTGCTCAAAGTCCTCATCTAACCTCTGTTTTCAGCAGCTCCATGCGTAACTCTGAACATGACTTCATCTATTCAGCATATAAATAACTATTCTCCTTATGTGCTTGATACCCCCCCTCCCCCTGGGAAAACAGCTTTAAAAGTAGCCTGTCTTCTCTGTAGTTTCTATTCCTGTCCGAACCTCACGGGTCAGAGAGAGCAGTGGTCACATGTACCGAACAGCACTGAGCGGAGAGTATAGGTTTTCCACCGCCGTCGAAGGCTCTATGGAGAGGTTTGACCCAGTGCACTTCTGCTCAGGGAAATCTGATAACAGGCCTCTGTAGCTCAGAACCAAAATAGTCAAAGACAAAACAGAGCTCACATGATCGACCGGGAGAGAGAACACTTTACATCCACCTCCTGCGTGACACAGTTCTGGGAGCCGTACGCAGCCGCTGGCAGCACAAAAGATGCTATTAGACAAAAAACAGACAGAATTGTTTGGGTCTGTTTTGTCTCAGGATATTGATTTATTTTTTACTCTGTAGGTTCACTTTGTAAGTTTCCTCTTCAATGTCTTTCCAGCAGAGACAAACAGGGCAGCAACCATTTTTAAAGCTCAGTCGGCACTGATTTGTTTCACAGGCGCCACCATGTGTGCTGTGTGTAGCTGTAGGCGTGTCATTGCTACTGATCTCTGATTTACTTCACTTGGTAGTTTGTCAAAACCCTTTAGGGTATGCATATCACCTACTGCCAGAGTTTAACACTAAGATCAGCTCATGTTGAACAGTGATTGAGCTTTAATCGTCTTGGTCATTCTGTGAAAATAACAGTATGTTTGACTGTACATGTCACTCTCAGAGTGTGTAAAAGGGAATGACTTATTCAAGTTTAGCTCAGTTTTAGCACATCTGTATGGGATAAATCTTGTACCAGCAGGAATTGAATTTGAATTGCTCAGATTGAATCCTGAATATACAAACCTACCTAAACCTACCTTTTACCTAATTTCCCTCTGGGATCAATAAAGTATTTTTGAACTGAATTGAATTGAATGTACATAATTTGAAATTGAATGCATTGCTTTGAAAATGAATTTTACCAAATTGAAACTGAATTTAATGGTTTGAGATTGAATTTAAAGTTTTGTTTCTGAAATAATTTTCTTTGAAATTGTATTTTGCTTTATTAAAAATTCAGTTTGACTGCGTTCAATTTCAGTTCCAAAATTCAGATTTTTGTGTCACATCCTGGTCCTTGAAAAAGCCAGGCAGAGTAATCAAACACAGATCCACAGATTTGTTTCACTTCGGTGAAGTTTCCCTTCTGTATGTAACAGAGTTGATGCAATCCACGGTGAAAGTGACAAAWACAAAGTTATTTTATTGCAGTGATTAGTTTTACCTATATGTAGAAAATGTTACATTTMAATCACATCATGGATCACATATTGATCAGATGCTGCTGCTGACTGATACATGATGTGATGTAAATGTAACATTTTCTACATATAGGTAAAATTAATCACTGCAATAAAATAATTTGTCTGTTTTTGTCACTTTTACAGTGGATTGCATCAACTCTGTTACATTACAGAAGAGAAACTTCACCGAAGTGAAACATAAATCTGTGGATCTGTGTTTGATTACTCTGCCTGGCTTTTTCAAGGACCAGGATGTGTGACACTAAAATCTGAATTTTGAAAATGAAATTGAATTATGGAGCTGAAATTGAATTATGGAACTGAAA